ATTCTGTATTTTTTGTTTTTTGTTTACACAGGCTTACACGAGGGTGACTCATATCATTTGGGTTTCAGCTCAAAAATAACATCATCAGAGATATCTTTCCCTGGCTATGCAATTTAAATTATTCTTCTTCATTTCTCCATTTCAAACATTTTACTCTATTGACTCCAAGCATTAATTACAATCTGAAATTAGTCTCGTCCATCTGTTTACATAGTTGCTTAACTGTCTTTCCAAACTGAGAATATCAGTGATAGTAGACTTTATTTGTCTTACTCTATTTGTATCCATGAAGCCAAAAACAGCCTTTGACAAACAAACACTAAGCATTTATCAAATGAACCATTGGCTATTTGACAAATACATTACTAAGTAAAGATTGAACCAGTATGGAGGTATATGATGCTAACCAGTGAAGACTGAACTAGCAGGGAGGTATGTGAGGCTAACCAAAACATGCTAACTTATTCATAATGGGGTCTTCTCTGTGATGACTGTGAGGAGATAAATGTCACTAAAAGCTACAGTTCTCTGAATGGTTGCCAGAGGCGCATGTTGTGCTTGTTATGACATTACAGAAACAGGAACTTTAAAACTCTCTCCACCCATTGTTTATGCAGCATTACTTAAAAGGAGTCTTGTGATCCAGATGTGGTGGTGCACACCTTTAATCCCAGCCTTGAGGAGGCAGCGACAGGTGGATCTCTGAATTTGAGGCCTACAGAATAAGTTTCAGGACAGCCAGGACTACAAAGAGAAACCCTGTCTTGAAAAACCAAATTAATAAATAATAAAAGGGGGAGTGTGTCTTATAGTTACTTCTAATAGATTTTGGAAAGGGAATATTCTAGAATACAAAAATATTTCCACAAATATTACAAACATAAACAGCAGAAAACTTGAAGATCAGAAAAAACTACTGGTATTTCCAAAGCATTGTTTGATTTAATGATGAATTAGCCATAGTTCTGGCAGAGACAATTAGACAGTTAAATATTGTTTAATTGTGCATGTTGAAAGTAAGAACGAAGAAAATCTATTTGTTGAATCCAATCCATTATTCAAAGGCATGATTAAGAGTCCAACCTCAGAAACTTTGTTCAACACAAATATGAAGCCCAAGAGCTATGTCCAGATCTCAGTATCACACAAACAGAATATTATCCACTGAGGTTACTCTTGCTCAGAACCTTTGTTGAACTCATTCAACCCACCAAATTTGGATGACACCAGCTATGTGTTAGGGACTGTGCTTGGTGATGGGCATAAGAAACAAAAAGATTCCCAAACCTCAAAAGAAGACACAGCGTTTATCATTTCTATATCTGGAAAGGAAAGCTTCAATTAAAAAGTCACACATCATGATAATGATGATTTGTTTCCTCATTATGCTTTTGTTTTCTGTGCTTTTACACTGGCCTTTGTTCAATATTTAAGCCTTGAGGTCACAGTGGGCTTTGCTTTCCCCTTACTCAGTCCAGTGACTCACAGGCAACAGCTACTGGTCAAGTATTCTATTCTTAGCTTCTTCAAACCTGATTATTCTAAGAAACACTTTCTACTGGCAACATGGTGATCATGTTTAAATATAACTCATCCTGATCAATCTAAATCTCCTGATTTTTAACCAAGTTCCCTTTTGTTTAGATGTTGCAATTTGTTTCTTTAAGTTAACCCATATTTTAATGATCCTAGGTGACTTTAGCATGAAAGGTGTGTGTGTGTGTGTGTGTGTGGTGTGTGTGTGTGTGTGTGTGCCTGTGTGCCTGCCTGTCTGTCTAAAGCACATAGCTCTGATTGAAGATCACAGACTCCCAGTTGGGCTTCTTCTTTCCCCACATCCTGTCTGCACTTTCCAGGTTTCTGGAGCTACAGTTGTCAGGATTAGAGTAGCTGCTGAGGGGGACAGCAACTTCCAATTCATGGTTGTATAACTACAGCAATGATGGTGGTTAGATGCTTTGTAGGTACCAAGTATGGGGTAACACACATTCTTGTCTTGATGTCTGCATCAATCCTATAGGGTGGAGATTCTATCTTCTCACTTTAACAAAAAGTCTCAAGTAGGACTGGTAATTTGGTTCAATTGTATCATTAAGCAAAGCAACAAGGATCATGCCTCAGCCTCACCTGTCTGATCATAGCCTATGCATTTAGCTACTAATTTAGAAAACTACAAAGATTAAACTAAGAACTATTTCTATATCCTATGCAACTCTATTTTCCAGTCTTTCAGTAAATCAGGGAAATTTTCTGTTTCCATATGCATTTCTGTTTAAAAAAACAAGCTGTTCATGGAAGGTATCTGCTTCTATAGAGTTGGAAATACAAACCCATAGGTGATCTTTCAGTTATTTTGAAATTTTGACCATAGGTCATTTATTCTATTTTATTTTTGTACATACTGAAGAATGGGAAAGAGCTTTCTAAGTTAATACATAAGACAAAAATGTCAATATAATATGAAATACCTAGGCTTAATTTTCACAGCAAACCTTTGTTTAAATTACTTTGCCCTTTCTCTTTTTTCTTCTTCCAATCTGTAATAAAAATGAACATTAGTGTAAAAATGATCACTCTAAAATTTTTTTCTGGTCCTAGGCTTCTTTATAGGACTAACTTTTTCTGCTGTTTTTTTTTGTCATTCACTATATAATCATAATGATCAAGTGCCTAACTTTCATGGTAAATGGTTATCCAGTTTTCCAAAGAACTTGTTCTGATGACAGAATTTAGGACAGATGTAATGTATGCCTGTACTCAAGAAAAAGATAATCAAATAACACACTTTTTGAAGATAAGCAATTTTTAAAACCTCAAAATTTTCTACATTTTGGTTAAGCAATTGAACTTTATTTTTGATACTAGCTGTTGATATCCCTGCCTAAATAGCTCCAGGGATGAGTGTTTGCTTTATTGATTTCCTGTCTTTCCTAGAAAGGACAACAAATGGTTTGCACCTATTGCTGTTCCCGTCTTCAGTGGGCAAATCGCAGTTCCTTCAGTCTGTTTATTGAATTTACCTTCATGGTCAAATCAGATGGCTGTAATCAAATCAATTCTGGAACAAGCTGCACTGAATGCTGGAAGCCCATATGAATGGATCAGCCTAAAGATGATGGAATCTATGCAACTGCAAGGTAATTATTATGATTTATAAAATGAAAATGCTTTAATTAATTTACTAACAGGGAAGAAACTACATCAAAAGGACTAAAATGAAGTGAATATAACTGAGATCATTAAAATCCCTAAAGAATTAGGCTTGAGGGAAAGATTTATAAATGATGCCCAAATGACTTCATGCAGACCTACAGATCCAGCTAATGAGTGATTGCTAAATAGGATAAATGCAGATCATTATCCTTTTAGAAGGACATTAATTATAGATAATTATAGGTAAACTATCATTGCAATCTGAAATGTGATGTCCATGACACGTTGGGTCTTTTGTTGTCTCCCACAATAACACTGAATATCCACCAAGTTCAGATTTGCAAGTGAATAAAAGAACAGATCAAAGCCCAGTGTGATGAACCCAATGGAGCACTTACAATAGTAATTTTGTTTTGTTTACATATTTACAAATCACTTTCCTAATATGAGGAAGCTAGAGAAAAGTGAAAAGGTTCATGTCCACCTGTTCTGCAGAATTCAAGCAAGCAAGGCATTGTTTTCAACTTGGAGTAAGGTAGACAAAGTTCATACTCATTTACTTTTGCTCATTCTTTCTATGTCTGATCCTTGGACTGGTTGGTGCATGAAGGTGAAAGTTTAGAGGAGCTTGGTTGTCCAAATTTTAGACAACAGTCTGACATGGATGTTAAGACTAGAAAAATGTAAGTGCTACTTGATGATGAGATAATTTCATTAAGTCTACCCAGAGACATAGAATTGATAAGACACAGATATATAAGAGGACATTTTGGATATTGTGCTACCTGATTCGGGAGTTTTAAAAGGCCCATGACATGCTAACAGCAAGCTGAGGAGCCAAGAAAGCTGGCAGTACAACTTAGTTTGAGTTGCAGAAGGCTGCAAATGAGAAAAGTAGATGGTTTCTACTATCAGGTTTGATGTCCAAGGGGAAAAGTAAATGGTCTTATAGCTGAAAAAAGAACACATTAGTCCTTCCTCTTTTTTTTTCATTTTTTTCTGGATCTGTAATAAAATGTATGATACCCATTCCATTGGTAAGAGCAGATATTTACATAGCCTACTACTGGTCAAATGTTAATCTCTTATAGCAACACTCACACATATACCTAAAAATAATAGTTTACTAATTATCTGGTCATCTAGTAGTTTAGTCAAGTTGTCATATAAAATGAACTACCATGGCAGCCCCAAAACTCCAGGAAAAAAACTATGTTTTTTTCAACGCATGAATTATTCCCCAGACAATAAGAAAATACCGAACAAGAATTAGTATCATTTGTATCATTTGTATACCTCTTATCATTTGGAAATGAATCATGAGAAATCCTAAGATTGAGGAAACTTTCCATTCAAAGCATATGCATTACAGGTAAACAGGTAACATATTAACTTTACTTACTTGCTGGTCATTAAAACAAAACAAACATTGGGCATTGGGTATACACTGCAAGCCAGGAATTGAGGGAATTGAAAAGACCCAGTTTTCCTTTACGGATTTTAAAACCAGTCAGAGAACAAGACAAATTTGTGAGGGGGGGAATGTATATACATGCACAAAATCTATGGCCATGAAAACCAACAAGAAACAGTCAAATATATGTAAACACAATCACAGATATTCGATAACCTACATGGAAGCTTCATGGTATGTGCCAGCAGTAGAGTACCAGAGACAGTAGGGTCAATCAAGCTGCATTTGAAAATGCAGAAAGAGTAAAACTGTCCAAGCGGAGCAGAGAGAACAGTGAAATCTGGGTGGGAGCTTTCTTAGACACAGAGAATGAGCACGGAGAACACTCTAGCTCCTACCGCTGTCTAATCTGTACCTTGTTGTTGGTGTGACAAAAGACACAAAATGCTTCATGAATTTGTATGTAAACCCTGTGCAGGGGCCATGCTAATCTTGTCTATACCTTTAGAATATTAGTATATGAGATGCTGTAACCAGCTCATAAAGTCACATGCTCTCTAATGAATACTCCATGGCTTATCTACTTCACTATGAAAAGCATTTTATTTTACTTTATTATATTCAGGGTCTCACTGGGTATCCCCTGCTGTCCTGGAACTCACTATGTGGAACAGGCTGCTCTGGAACGCACAGAGGTCTGCTTTTCTCTGCTCCTAAGTGCTGGGATTAAGGGTCCCATCAGACTCAGATTTTACCAATAATTTTTATCAACAGAAATGTCTTTCTTCATTGAAAGCATGAAGCTGTTTATTCAAATGTGCTTTATATGCTTTTCTCCCTGGAACCTCTCATGCATTGCATAAGAGGGCATATCATTTGCTTTTCAATGAAACACTACCATCCTTATCATTTCATTTTACTTAGCTACTGATGCCAAGAGGTCTCAATTTAAGTAAATTACTTTTCAGAGTTGAAAGACTGGTTCTCTTTGAAAACATTCTTCAGAGGTCAATAGTGGTCACAGGCTTAAGAATTTGGGGCCAAGAATTAATGAGGGCTGATAAGACAGTGTTTTAATGATATGCTAGGCATCTGAATTGCTGCACTCACTTCAAAGAAAACAATATCCTGGAGAATCTTCATACTTCCTTTCATTTGACAGCCATTGTAGATTCACCCATGAAATAAACAAGAAGTGCCCCATTGCTAAGTAGCTTGAAGGAGTAGAGTTGGCAATGCCTCTGAGCCTTTTCTTGTCTTACTCAAGTATAAAATTGTAAGTACAAATGCATCTAGTTGTTATTTACTTTTCTCATAATCTTATCAATAAATCACATTCTATATAATCCTAGGCATACTCAAAGTAGAGATTTCATTAAGAGATAACTGTATTATTCTATTGGGGCTGGAGAGAAAGCTCAGCGGTCAAGAGCATTTGCTATTCTTGCAGAGGACCTGCATTCACTTCCCAGCACCCACACCCAGTAGCTCACAACCACCTATGACTCCAGTTCCAGGGGATCCAGCACCATCTTTGAGCCTCCATTGACACCAGGCACATATGTGATACACATACACATATGCAGGCACCTACACATACACATAAAATAAAAGCAAATATATTTTTAGAAAATGTCATGTTTCATAAAGACTTAATATACAATACCATGGAAGTTCCAGATAGATACTTATCATATTCTCTTGGCTAATTGGGTTCAAATGTCAGCTTTTATGAAGTGTTCAAAAGGTCACCTCATTAAGTAATCTTAACAAATACACAGACTTAGAACGGTCTCATATGGATAAAAGTTATATAATACTTGTAAATGGCAATAAACTGTGAAATTTTATTTTTTGTAAGTTGTAATGATTCTTAAAATTGCATTTACATGAGGGAGAGTATGTATGTTATTGGATACCATAGGTCCTAAAAAGCTTAAGTTATAAAATCCATCATAGATTACATGTGGGTTTAGTCATGGTCATCTTGTTGATTTCATCTTTCTTTTTCAAGGAAGAAAACAAATTTTTTAAGCCAAGTTCTCATTTTAGGCTTTAGTGACCAATCAATCAATCTAGGAACCACTTTCTATCTCTACTTGAAAAAAACCAATTAACTGTGTGCCAACACTATGCCAAGTCATTGAATTTCAACAGTGAAACAGACACAGTGGCTGTGTACATCATAGATAGGCAATAACACATTTTCAGATGGATAACACAATGCTGTTATACAAAGAATAAAACAAAGCAGGCAGAGGTGGAGAGACTTTCAATGGAAGGTCATGGAAGGCCTTCAGAAGCAGGTAGGGGCTTTCACTCTCCTTAAATTACTGTCCACACTTTCAATGTATAAAATGTAAGTACCTCCCACACAGTACTGGCTCTCGGTTCATCCATCTTCCCCTTGCTGCTTATTTCTACGAGGTTTTGCCTTTCAGAGAGTGAGTTATGAGGGGGCTGATAATGCTATTTCTGTTGACAGCTTTACAAAGAGGTTTGGTTGAAAAGAAGTCTAACAATAATGGATAAAGAAAGGTATTCTTGGATCCTAATGACAGACTTTTTTTCTGTGGCATCTTGGGCTCACATCTGCAGATAACTGAGTAAGACTTGGTTTTCTGATTGATTTCAGTTTTTCTGGGGGTATATTTGATGTTTATCATTTATAATAGATGATATACTTTTGTGGCCATTTCCATTTGTTCATTTCTGAATCTTCTAGGTAGACATCTTGAATCTTTAGTATTAACTCACATTTTGATAATCCATTAAACTAATAGGAAGATTAATGTATTCATGCTATATGTTGTATATTTTCTACTGATGACAGTTTAATTAACATTAAATTGGTCCCTCAAATCTTTGACTTATTTACCAAAGACTATTGCTAAATTACTGACAAAAAAATCTGGACATTTTAACAGTTTCAATGTCCTGTTTGCTTTATGGTGGTGCTAAATCCTACAGGACAAAGACCTAATACTGAAGGAAGTAGTTACAAGAACAAAGAAAAACATTCAACATTTTTAGAGAAAAGGAGAAAGAATGGAAATAAAGACACAAGGCATTGTACATCATTAAAGCTTATGGGAAGTTAAACTGAATTCTACACCTGCTATCAGGAGTCAGATTTCCTTGAGGGCTCCTCTTCACACATCCTAGTCATGCAATCAAAAGTGGTCAAGGCACATTTCTAAAAATCAAATTTTGGATCAGACCATAAGACTCTTAGGAAGTTTACCTTTAAACCTTCCTAAGAGTTTAGCTTCCTAAGAGTATAATATACTGGGGCTCTCCCCTGCACTGTAGAGAATTTAGACTCCAATAAGAGAGAATTCACACTCAGGGCAGTGGACTTCTTTCATGAAAGACCATATGACTAATACAATGCCTTCTTGTTAAATTGAAATCTATCTCTACACCAAGTTCTATAACAGAAACTGAATCACACTTTGTGGGGTGGATTCCTTTCCTATAGCATTTTGACTGTACACATATATTTCAATGTGTGCTGCATCTGTAATTTAATTCTTTTGGAAGACATTATGGGAGAAAGCCAGGAAGAAAAGGAGGCCTTAGCCTTATGCTCTGATCCAGAATTTCCTTGAGTTCTTCCCTACAACTGTTGAGGAAGATGTAGATAAGGAGGCTCTTTAACTCATATCCTGCTGTTGTATGTGTGCAGATCATTCAGCAGACTCACAAGAAGGTGTGGAGTAACTGAAGACAGCAGTGGGTCTCAGACATAATGTTATCAAACACTGTGGCATCTTCATTTTTATCCAAAAGAAAGACCTTCTCATTACTGACAAACTGACTACTTAGAAAATGGATTCTTGTATATTTTGACCAGTCCTTATAGCGATATTTCACAGAAACATCTACAAATTGAACAATTCATAAAAGCATCTGTAGCCTTCCATGAAATCTTAATGGGCCGTAAGTTCCTTCTAATGGCTGTGTGTGACCCAGGGTTTCTGGAATGCCCAGGCCTTCACCTACTAGATGCTAGCCAAAGACATTTAAAAATGCTTACATAATGGTTACCTAGTCAGGTACAAGGACACTACTCCTGGTGATCTGGACAATGTACTCTCAGTGCAGTATAATTTTATAGACATTTAACATCTGATTGCAAATGAGGTCAATTAAACCTCTTTGCTCATTTTCCCATGACTAACATTCAAGGCAAAGTATGCTATGATCTGCTCTTATACAACTGATTATTTTTTAACCTCAAGGCAGGATTTTACATTTTTCTACAGTACATTTTATCCTAATGATTTTTTTTCTGTTCAGCCTCTGAAGAGAATTCTGCACCAGAACTTTTTCATCCATCATATAAGCAGTTATTCCTTCTAGATTTGCAGCAGGCACAGGTTTGGAGAGCATGGTCCAATGATCACCTCGGAACTGGGCTCTGCTTTCTGACCTTTGTAGTTCTTTCCTGTGTAGGGCTCTTTCCTTCAGGGAATTAAGGGCCTAATAGTTGAAAATAGCTCAGCAGCAAACCAGTCCTGCTGTCTGTCTCTCTCAAACCTACCTCCTGACGACCAGTTATCAAACAAACAGTTAAATGAACAAATGTTGAATGAGGCTTGTTCAACCATGTCTACACATAGAGAAATCTGCTTTTTTTTTTTTTTTTTGGTTTTTTGAGACAGGGTTTCTCTGTGGCTTTGGAGGCTACCCCGGAACTAGCTGTTGTAGACCAGACTGGTCTCGAACTCACAGAGATCCACCTGCCTCTGTCTCCTGAGTGCTGGGATTAAAGGCATATGTCACAACTGCCCGGCTGAGCCATATGTTTTTACATTAATTTTTAAAACCATCATCAACTTTAAGAACACATTAAATATAACTACAGAGAGTTGAATCAGTGCAGTCACTATATAGCTTCATCAATACATTAGATATATTAGAACAATGCTATGTGCTACTCTGCAGTCTATTTCTCCTTTGTGTGGATATATGTGTGTATCTATAGGCCAGGCATCAAGGTCAAGCGTCTTCTTCATTCATTTTTCAGCTTATTTTTGGAGATAAAGCCCCTCACTGAACTTGGAAGTCATTGATTTGGCTAGACTGGCTGGCCAGTAAGCCCCAAGAGTCTTCTTGTTTCTGTTCCCAATATACTAGAGGAATGACTCATATGGCTACCTGGGTGCTAGAAATGAAACTCAACTCCATATGCTTTTACCAGCTGAGTAATACTCCATTTGCAAATGTACCACATCTTCTTTATTCATTCTTCAGTCGAGGGGCATCTAGGTTTTTTTCCAGGTTCTGGTTATAATGAATAAAGCAGTATTATCAGGACATTTGAAGGCAAATGGATGGAACTAGAGAAAAAAATCATCATGAGTGAGGTAACTCAGACCCAGAAAGGCAAATATGGGATGTACTCATTTATACGTGTAAAGTAAAGGATAACCATGCTACAATCCACAGTCCCAGAGAGGCTAGGTAACATGGAGGACCCATGGGGGGACACATGGATCTCCCCTCAAAGGGAAAAAAGATCTCCTGGGTGGACT